GTTAGATATAAACAAATGTATTGATCATATAAAATTATATTCATTCAGAAAATAATTTAAATTATTGTTTTGTAAAAATGGGTAAAATAACCCAGAGATGGACAATGAGGGAGACAGCGCCACACAGTGTCCAGTGAGAGCACTGATAACTCGTTTCCTTGTATCACGAAAAAAATGTTGCTAACTCGTAACTAGGAAAAGTCGTGTTTCGTGGAGCTCGTATCTCGAGGTCTCACTGTACATTATTGAAAAAATTCAATATATCTCCATACCTAAAGTATCGCAATATATCGTATCTCGATATGTATCGTATCGCCAGATTTTTCTTTTTTTTTTAATGCGATCTTAAAGCGTCAAACAAGCACTTCCTGTTTGAACGTTAACCCTGTGAAGCCCAAACTGACCATCCACAGTATCGACCCCGACAGCTGTTCAAACTGGTGCGAGCCGCTCCAACGCGACTTGACCGTAGCCAGGCCGAAGTCACCGATCTTCACCGTCAGATCCTCATGGAGGAAAATATCTGAGAGGAGAAGGAGTCAAGGAAACACCCGGGTCTGAAACCCGTCCTCGGTGCCGGGGTCCGAGGTTTTTTTTTTTTTTTTTCTGTGTTAGAGAGGATACTGTTGCTCTTCAGGTCTCGGTGGATGATGGACTTGGCGTGGAGGTAGCTGGAGACAGAGAGGAAGAGGCGCTGTCATTGAAAAGCTCACAGACACCGTCAGTGATGTCAGTGCGTCTGTGGTTCTTACTCCATGCCCTGGGCCGTCTGCCGGGCGATGTCGATCAGCTTGATCATCTCGAACTTGGTCTCCAGGATGTGGAGGTGGTGGTACAGACTGGAGCCCTCGCACCACTGGGTGACTATGGCCAGCTGGGGTTTGGTGGTGTAGCCCATGAACAGCAGGATGTTCACGTGACGCGTTTTCCTGGGGAAGAGGGAATCGACAAAACTGAAATTCAACAAAGTTCTGAAAACAATTTGGGAAAAACAAACTCTTCATCGAAGTCTACGGGACTTCTGCTGGATGTGGTCCACGTGGGCTGCACCGTCCCTTGGTATCAGTCTAGTATTAAACTACGTGTTCCACCAGCTGTCTTAGAACTTTTCGACTGTGACGTCGACTGTTGACCAGCAGAGGGCGTTACCTGAGGACTCCGACTTCGTTCTTAAAGGCCTGAAGTTGCTGTGGCGTTGGAGCAGTGACGTTCAACATCTTCACCGCCACGTCCCCTAAAAGAGAGAGAGAGAAGTCAAAACTATAGGGGTGTGCGCTGCAATACGAACTTTTTGCCGATATCCGATATTGTCCAAAACTTAATTTCCGATTCTGATATAGCGGGCAGTGGTGCCCTGGTGGTTAAGGCAGGTAAGTGTCGTCTGCTGTGTAAGGTGGGGGTTAAAGCTGTGTTTCTTTATTATTTTCTGCCATGCCCCCTAGTGGACAGAAGTTTTTTCACCCCCCCAAACGGAAGTACTATTGAGCACCTGGTAACATTTATTTATTTATCAATCAGTACAAACCACTGTACAAGTTCTTTAAATAAAATGAAAATAAAAAGAATAAAATGAGCTGCAATGCTGCCATCTAGTGGCTTTTACTTCTAAATACAGTTGTTTTTCCACCAAAAAATATTTATAGGGCGCACATCATTGGGCTCAGCGGAGCCCTCACTGAGCCGGTTCCCAGCAGCCTTTGTTCTTACCGTGCCACTTTCCTTTGTAGACGGTTCCAAACGACCCAGATCCTATTCTCTGACCCAGGGTGATCTGACCTTCAGGGATCTCCCAGTCGTCACTGGAGTCCCTTCTGCCCAAGGTTTTCTGTTTGACAACATGTGTGGTCAGTGCACAAACACACAAACACAGATCAAAGGTCAAAGGTCAAAGTCGTCGCCTCGACCTCTCACCATTTTATTGCGGTCCTCGGACGAAGACGACGACTTGCGCTCCCGTTGTTGGCACGGTGACTTCTGTGGAACTTTGACATTGGTCAGGGACCCGGTGGCGCGTGGCGTGGGCGGCGCCCCGGTGGGGGAGCGGGGGGGGGGAGGGGGGGGGGTGCGAGCAAGAAAGAAAGAAAGAAAGGAAGAAAGAAAAAGTGCAAAAGCAAGAAGAGAATTAGGAAAAAAAAAAACAAGGGTCAAACATTAAAAAAAAAAAGAAAAGAAGAAAAGGAGAAAGTTTCAGGGAAGGAGTGAGGTGTGTGTGTGTGTGTGTGTGTGAGTGTGTGTGTGTGTGTGTCATCACAGCACAGTGGTGAACATGGTGCTGGTCTGGATGGTGGTTAATGGTTAATACAAACATACCAGTGTTGTTATAACCAAATCAAAGACACGTTGGCGCTAAAAGAGGAAGTTGATAAGACGACTTTTATTGTGAAGGTCTCGTTTAGGTTCCTGTCTGGGGACGGGACGTGTCGTCCACTGGGACTGTAATAATAATAATAATAAAAAATGTAAAACAGTTTGCATACGGCAGTGCAGCTACGCAGTTTTCTTTTTTTTTTTTTTTAGCACAAATGCTAATCAGACGGCGTTAGCACAAGAAGCTAAAGAAATAAAGAGTGACACCTGCTGCACATTTTAACACTCCACAGCAAAGAGACCACAAGAGGGCGCTGTTTCCGCTTCATTGGGTGTTAAAGTTCTTGTAGAAACCCTAAAAATCTTCCAAATTTGGGCCCCAGAATGAAGGCAGCTTCACCCCCTGGATTCCTCACCCCTGGATTCCTCACCCCTGAGTCTCTAACGTTTAGCGACCAAACCACCATCCACCGTATCTACGTCTGTCGTCGGGTGAGTCAGGTGAATGTGTAACACCTGCGGGTGAGGAGAGCACGTGTTGACGTAAAAGAGGGGGGAGGGGGGCAGGGAGGGGGGATAGGAAGAGAGAGAGACAGGGTCGGGTTCACACGACAGGACACTGTGTCAGGGCAGAGGTGTAGAGGTGGGGGAGGAGGAGGAGGGAGGTGGGGGGTGAAGGACGGACAGGTGGGGGGGGTCGGATGGGTGAAGGACAGAGGAACACGCAGAGGGCTCCTAACTACCTCTGAAAACAGGCTCAGCCTCAAAATCAAACACTATGTCATTGGGGTAGGAGTATAGGAGGGGGCTTGAGGTCCGTGTTCGATGCTTCCTCAAGCAGCGGGCGGGGTAGGTCGGGGGGGCTGCAGGGCAAAAAGAGACAGACAGACCATCACTGCTACTCGCCCTCGCACCTCTGTGACTAACTCTCCATGGACACAGATGAAGGGGCGCCACGCGCTACACTGTTAGCAGTGTAGCGCGTGGCGGTGTGCACTGGCAAGAATCTGGCGATTACGATACGCATCGCGATACGGGGGGGGGCGACGATAAGATATATTGCGATACTATAGGATCAACGATATATATTAGTGCTACTGATTTTAAATAGGGGTGTGGATTGTTAAGAATTTGGCGATACGATATGTATCACGATACAATACTGACAATATATTGCGATACTATAGTCACGATAATAAAACAAATCCATACAGTGGTTATAGTCACGATAATAAAACAAATCCAGTGGTGTAGAATATCAATACGTTATTGTGAAAAAAAACCCCGCAATATTTCAGTCCATCGATATTTTCTTACAACCCTAGTTAGCATGTTAGCGTAGCTTTTTTTCCCCCCTTTTTTTCCCCCACGTATTCACCGCGCAGCTGTTCACCCAAAGGTGTCACGACTTTAACCCCAGACTTGCCCGTCTCTTTTCATCCACCTTCTCGACACCTTCTATTTCACTTCTTTTTTTTTTTCAAACATAAAAGAAATTCAGTTTTTAACGACACTCTGGCAACGTAACAAAGGCACAGACTGAAATGGGAAGTGAAGGGAGTAAAACTGCAGTAGCATCCTGTCAAACTCTTACAGATCATGAGAAAAAAAAAATTTTTTTAAGAAGCGAATGGTGAGAAAAGGCTGAATCTGTTGGACACAGTCTGTGGTTCAGTTCACTTTATAACTGGGTCGTTCTCTGACTCTCTGGGCAGAACTGTTGCTTTTAAACAGGTTTTTATTCACCAGTTCACTTTATAACTGGGTCGTTCTCTGGTTCTGCAGAACTTCATCATTTTCCCATAAAGTATTCTTTAAAAAAAAACAACAAAACAAACAAAAAAAAACACCAAACGATGACATTTAGATATTTTCCAAACCATCTTTTCCCACTACGATCTTCTCTCCGTCCCATTTGTCCACACCAGGAGGTCACTCTAAAAGCCCCCGACCCAATGATGGGACCCTACATTTGAAAAAGCTTCTTTTTTTACTGGACTAAACTCTAACCCTAAACGCCTCACACAGCACATGCATGATTAGACGGACACAAAAACACACACAGACCATGGGATGATGGGAAAATTAGCAAAAAAACAAAAAAAAAAGAACACAGTAGCGTAGCGTCATACCTCCATCTGACCTCGGTAAACTCTGGTCTCGAATCAAGTCCTGAACGGAGGAAGAAAGAACAGTTTATCAGCAACAGTACCGTGGAACAGTACTGGGATCAACAGACATTTATGTAGTACTTTGAAGTATTCTCTGGATCTGTAAGTAGTAGTATCCAAAATGAGTTCGACCTATGTATCTTTGACATTGCTATAACAAGGATGTCCGATATTATCAGCCGACCGATATTAGCTTTATTATGTAATATCGGTAAGAATCGTTATCACTTTTTTTCGTGCGATTATGTAATATCGATCCCTGGGTCTTGGCCCAGATGATGTGACCTAAAAATTGTTCTGAAGTGAAAGTGAATCTATTATTTGCGTTGTGCACAGTATCGTCAGTGTGTCCTCTGACTTTAACCCAAACGGTTACGTATATTGGTATCGGTTGATATCGGAATCGGACATTAAGTGTTTGGACAATATCGCCATATTGGATATCAGACAAAAGCTAACATCGGGTACGTCTGGTAATACCCGTTTTTCCAGCAGACTCACATCAATGTTGACAGGCTCTATGGTGTTGATATGGACGTTTGGCGCCGAAGACGAACGGTCCCGCTGACCAAACTGGTTGCGGTGGTCTTCCTCGTTTGGCCGGAAACTGGGCGGGATAGGTATGGACTTGGAAGGCGATACAGTGGAGTGGCATATGGACCTGGACAGAGGGCGAGTGTCAGTGAAGAAAAACAGACCCAACTGAACCATGATTCACCACAAGGGGTCATCTGTCTCACCAACCCCTACCTTTACCGTAACACTAAATGTTTTCAGGGTGTTTTCCTTTGGTCTGCATCTCAATCTCATCTCTAACTTTATCTTCAAACTGCTCCACCTTAACTGCCCCTCTGAGTTACCGTCGCCTCCTGATGACCTCATCTGTCAACCTCTCGATCACCAGGGTAAGAAAAGATAATTGAAACTCTTGAAGCCACCCCGTCCTGCCTTAAACACGTCCTGAACCACACTCACATACTTCTCTGCCACTCCCATCTTTCTCATACAGTATTCTTTTTTTTACCAGTACTCTCAAAACAAATATTACATATGTAGTACTTTTCCTGGGAATAAAACCAAACTCCATATCTGAAGGATATTTGACAGTTACTGTTAGCGTCGTGCTGTGGGTGACACTGAGGCTCTCACCCCCGGGTAGAACGTGGTTCCAGAATGATCTACAGTTTTCTTAACAACATGACTCAGTGGTGACATCGGGAGTGTGAGTGTGAGTGTGAGTGTCTCACCCCATGGAGTCAGACGGAGGGAGTGACGGACAGACCTCGGACACAGGAGTCGTCCCCTCCGAGGACACCTCCTCCTGGGTGAAGGGGTGATGCTCAAAGAACTTGGACACTAACAACAAGCTGTGAAAACAAGAAGTGTTAAAAGCCTCAAAATGGATTTTTTTTTTTTTTTTTTTTTGTCTCATCAATTCTCAGTCCAATATTCCTGGTGTTGGTTCATGTTCTTGTTCTTTTCTTTCTTCTCTAGTGATTCCAAATGTAGATCCCTCTGTTCCAGAGTTAGGAACTGATGTTCAGATGGAACAGAGTCTCAGACTAGGATCACACTGGGGGGGGCAGAGTCTGAGACTAGGATCACACTGGGGGGGGCAGAGTCTGAGACTAGGATCACACTGGGACTACAGCTAGACTGGGGGGGGGGCAGAGTCTGAGACTAGGATCACACTGGGGGGGGCAGAGTCTGAGACTATATCGTTGTACCTGTAGTATTGCAATATATTGTGTCAGTATTGTATTGTGATACGTATTGTATCTTCAGATTCTTAACATTTAAAATCACTGACCATGGACAGATGAAGTCCAACTGTATGAATATATATAATATATTTCAGGTCCGACCCCACGGCTCGGACTGTTAACTGAACCAATGAAATGATCTTTAATAAAAACCTAAATCTGAGACTGAGCATTAATGTATTGATCATTTAGTCCAAAAGAACCTGAAGTCTGATTTCTTTCCACTATTTAAAAAAGCCCGGTCGTCCGAGTGACTCACTCCAACTGGTCGTAGTTGACACACATGAGCGGGACCTCCGTGCTGCACCGCTGGTGGAACTTGTAGCCGCAGGTCTGACAGCGGAAACCCTGGAAGAGCAGCTTTCTGCAGAAGTCACAGAAGGCCAGCGTGAAGAAGGTCTTCCTCACCTGTCAATCAAAAACACAAACGTGCAGCGTGAGGATCGCAAAACGGCTGAAAGTAACACGCGGAACGGACGAACCGCACGCAACAATCGTCCATCAAAATGGTCAGGTGGTCTCACTGTGTTGGTTGATTAAACGTGTGGTCGAATCAGTGTATGTAACGTAGGTCAAGGGTCACCAACTGTATTTATCGGAGGGCCAGACACTCAAATAAATGAAATAAAAATCACATTTTTGTCTAATGTTATTATTTCATGTTTGTTATGGAATCCAATCGCAGGCCAGATTAGATCGTTATAATCATGATATTGTCCAAACACTTAATTTCCAATTCCGATATCAACCAATGCCGATAAATGCCTGGTAGTATTTATGTATTTATCTGTATAAGTTGCTGCAATGCTGCCATCTAGTGACTTTCACTTTCATAGACAGCTGTTTTTTCCCCAAAAATACTTTTAGGACACGTCATTTGACAAAATCTGGGCATTGCGTTATCGGGTTTTCATTATCGGAGGAAAAACCATTAACAATTCTTACAGATATTACAATATCACGATAATATCGGCAGATAGTTTTGGTCGGCCGATATTATCGGACATCCCGAGTTATAATGACATCATTTTTGCTGCCAAGTTGAGGTCAAACTGGACTGTGTGTGACCTCTGACCTACAATGACTTTGACACCTCTGCCCAGGAATATTGTAAACAAAGTGTTTTTCAAAGAGGTCGTGTGTAAAACAAGAATTCTAGATGATTTTTCTGAACCAAAAAAAAAAAAAACGGTCACATTGTCGTTGGGTGTGAAACGCGTCGTCCGACTTTGGCGTACAGTCACGACTGAAGGTCTGAACTCACAAAGTTGTGTGTGGTGAGCGGCACGTTCTCCAGCACTTCCACGTGTAACTCCTCTCCAGTTAGCCACGAGATGTCTGTGTCCCAGCCAATGGGCCTCTTCTCTCTGAAAGGTCAAAAGGTTAACAGTTAATCATGAAGTGAGAACGTCACAACAGTAAACAACAGAGAAGAAAAGCAAAATAAAAGAGTGATTTCAAGTCACAACAGTAAACAACAGAGAAGAAAGAAAAGCAAAATAATAGAGTGATTTCAAACTTCTACTTCTACACTACATCTACTTCTTTAGTATTTTTTACTATGTATGTAGTACTACTACAAAATACTACAAATATGTTGTCTCATAAAATTCAGGTCCAAATGTAAAACCAACACTGTTTAAGTAAATCTTAGATTAAAAAAAAAAAAAAAATTCTTGTCTCCTAGGGGGCACTGTTGTTACCTGACACCTGTGTGTGGGCCAACGCACTGAATTATTAGTTAGTCTCGTCGTCACGGACGCACTCACCCGTCCTGTATTCTGTAAACCGCACAGCATTCTGGGATAAGGCCTCGCATCATCAGAGCTTTCTTGAGGGAGTCTCTGGCAGTCATTCCACAGCGGGCTGGTACCTGAACACATCACCGCACACCATGCTCAACATGTGGCAACGGAACAGCAGAGGTGGAACAAAGGCAAAAAAAAAAAAAAGTTTTTTGGCTTTGGGAGGCACAAAACTGACGGCTCGCGGGCCACTTCCTGCACATTAACCTCATACATCCGGCCGGCACTAAATGATCAACAGCAATTTTGTTTTTTGTTTTTGATCAGATCCTGTCGACCAATCTGGGAGAATGTGGTCGTACGTGGACCTGGTCTCTGATTGGTGACCTCTGGTCCAATCAAGCTGTTCATGTCCCACAAAGTGATTTAATCTACATTCAATTACATTCAAATATTAACATAACAAAATATAAAAAGTCTTGATGTGCAGACCAAACTCTCTGACATGTGAGGCAGTAAGCTGGTGTAAGGTAAACGTACCACCGTTCTCTGTTTGTTGGGCAGGAAGACCCGAACGATTGGTTTTTGCGGTGAACGAGGGTTGGCTCGGTTCGTGTCTGTGGGGGTCTGCAGGACCGCCAGGGTGTTGGGAGCCGACGGGAACGCCTGGGCTCCGCCCCCGGCGCCGCAGCCTCCCGTCTTGACGTCCAGAACGGTCGGCGTGATCGAGGGAGAACAGGAGAAGTCTGTGCCGTTTCCCATGGCCTCCAACAGCTTCTGCTCCCTCTGCTGGAGAGCATCCAGCTTACTGGTGTACTCCTCATAGGCCTGAAGGGGGAGGACGAGAGAGGAGGGGGGAGACAAGGGGAGACAAGACCAAAGGGCTCAGGTTTGAAGACTCACTTTAAACTTTTCCTTTTCCGTGAACTTCTTCCGCTCCCTTACCTCTAAATATATGGAGGGAGGATTGTGTTCTCCTCCGAACTTGTCAAGAAGAGCTTCCAGATGTTCCTGTGTCAACTTGATCATCTGTCTGATGTTCCAGAGCTGTGGGGGAAAACACAACAATGACATGGAGTCAATATAGTTCAGCAACTCAACTAGAACATACATCTCTAATATATCTGTGATTCACAAGACAAGAAAAAGAAAAACCATCATATCGCAATTCTGGTTTCTGGAACTGATGGAGATATGGAGCATGGACCGTATAACCATCGTGTCATTGAATACTTCGTTAATATCAACGTTGTCAATTTTGTATATTTAAAAATCCCCAATCCTCCTGCAGTACCTCTGCAGACCCCTAGAGGACCAAAAATTCAACTCAATGTCTTGGTTTGAATAAAAAATAAAAAATCCATCAAAAAGGTTGTTGATCCCATTTAGAGGAAAATAGATGATAAAGAACAGAAGGCGACGGTGAAGATGATTGGATATGTGGCCCTGAAATGTTCAGCAGTGACACCTTGTGGTGGATCATAAACCAACCCCTGACAACAGCAGGTCTAATTGTTGCAAATGGCGAGCAGTTGTTGAGGTCTGTAGAGCGAATCCTCCCGGGGCGTGACCTCCTTCACAGAGTGAAAAGAGGGCACTGATGTTTTTAGCGTTTCTCGACTTTCTTCTTTCAACATGGACTGGAGCTGGAACCCAACATGTTCCAGTTTAAATGGAGCTGCAGTCTCATTGTGTGAAGTCACAACTTCCTCCGTTTACTCCGTGTGTGTGTGTGATGTAACAGGAAACACTCAGCTGTAACAGTGTCGTTACTGCAGTCACTTCCATTACACTGGCATAACGAAAACAAGAGCTAACTGGAAAACGCCATATTTGGAAGAAGAAAAACTGTCATTGTTACTTAAGCTGTTGCAGGGTATGGCCATTGAGGGCAGCGTCGTCCATTTGTCCCACAGACTGAAAACGCTAAATTTCAGTCCACAAACAAAAATCTTTCGTTAGAATGTTTTGTTTTTCCAACTTCAAAAAACAAACATAAAACGTGACACAGGTGATGTGCCACCTTCACTACCTACTATCATCCAGCAGGAGGTGATGACATCACAGCATCGAGTTATGGCTGTGTGAAAACTAACAGAACAACAGAAAAAAATAATCACACGAAAACGCACTACCACTGTATACGTTTCTTAAAAGATTAGGAACGTCCGATAATATCAACAGACGTATATTATCGGTTCCTGATATAAGCATATCATGTCATATCTGTAAGAATTTGTATCGGTTTTTCCTCCGATAATGAAAACCCAATAAGGCAATGCCTGGGTTTCGCCAAATGATGTGTGTCCTAAAAAATAGTTTTGGGGAAAAACGGCTGTATATGATAGTGAAAGTCACTAGATGGCAGCATTGCAGTCTATTTTATTAATCAGAAGATTGTTTGCAGAATGCTGGTGCCAGCAACTCATATATGAGTGGGGAGGACTTCTGTCCCCTAGGGGGAGCATGGCAGAAAATAATGGAGAAACACAACTTTAACCCATCACCTTAGTGAGCAGGTGGCACTTCACCTCCTCAACCACCAGGCCACCACTGCCCCACTATATCGGTATCTGTTGATATCGGAATCTGAAATTAAGTGTTTCGCAATTTCGCAAAAAAAGTTAATACCTAAGACCTGAAAACTGACCAAGGATAGACACGACAGAGGACTGTCACGTCAGTCTTTGTTTAGGTTAATAGTACAGTGTAGCACAACTGTGAAAATACCCATTCACTGGGTATTTTCTGTAGTAGAATATAGTATATTGTCTTCGACAACAACGTACGTTTTTGCTTCAGAACGTACGGTCTAAATGGTTCAGTTTGGGTTCCAAACACAGAGTCGGTGCAGGAGCGAGGAACCCGCCTGGGATCTGACCCAAACACAGTGACCTCCTGAGGTGAGAACTTGAGTTCAGCCACGTAACAAAAGTAGAGGCTGCGACATCACCTGTCACCAGAACATCTTTGGTCCATCTCCAATATCCTACTGGACCAATCCTGAACCACCAGCAGCTCTTTGGTAAAATTTAAAATCGAAGTCCAGGAGTTCACGAAAACCAAAATCTGCTTCGATTATTACCAGTGATATTTACATCTCTGGACCAGGCCGTACCGTAGCACCTGGTACCTTGGTCTGTGTTCATAGTAGACCCTTAGGTTTAGGGTTGGTTAACTAGTGGTCTCGCCGCATCCGGCCCCAGTGGGCTGCATAGGCTGTGGGGTGCAGCCCAGGAAATGCTAATGTGTCAATACTTCAGACCACCACCAGGACTCACCAGGACTACTGCATTATATACACTTCAAAATGATCATTTTAGGACTGTTTGAGTGAGTGTGTGTGTGTGTGTGTGTGTGTGTGTGTGTAGTTAGTGTAAAGTCTGTAATGGTAATTGCAAAACGTAAGCAGTCTCAACTGCACAAATCTGCCTCACTCGGACCTGCATCACCTACAGTTACCTGATCATAACCATCAGCAGCATCAGCATCAGCAGCAGCAGCAGCAGCAGCAGCAGCAGCAGCAGCCTTTGAGGTGAAGAGCCTCTGGTGAATATAAAACACTGGCTTCATCAGAGGCTGCAGTTCACGTACAGATCACAGTAACTGTCGGTCTGTTGTGTCACTTAAAGCACTAGAAAATATATATATGTGTGTGTAAATATATATAAATATATACGTGTGTGTGTGTGTGTGTGTATGATGTGCGCGTATATAAACATGAACGTGTGCGTGAGTGTGTGAGCTCTGATGCCGCACCAGACTGCAGCTGCAGCGAGCCTGGAAAAATGAGACCAAGGAGCCAGTGGAATAAAACAGGCCCGACATGAACAGCGGCTCGGCCGAAAGAAGCTTCCTTCCCGGTCCCCCTCTCTCTCTCCCTCTCCCTCTCTCTCGCTCTCTATCTCTGTCTCTCTCTCTCCGGCCTGTCGCATTACTGTGACCGCTGTGAGCTGCGGGGCCGTGGGGAACCCCAGCACCGGGCTCGGCTAGCTAGCTCATCCTCTCCTGCCCCCCCTCCCCCTGCACTGCAGCTCCCACGATCTACGTCCAGAGCCGGTGTTTCCTGTACATTCACGTCCAATTACCAGTGCACGGAGCCCGTGTCCCCTTGCCTAGCCTCCACCCGTTAACCCGCGGCTGTGGCGGCTTACCTCCTCCTCCTGCGGACACCCAGGAATCCCCGGCGAGCAGGACGCGTCCAGCCCGGGGCCCAGCTCCTCCAGGCCGCGTTCTCTGTCCGGCTCCCGCTCCGCGGTGTCTCCGTTAAAGACGGGCGGTGGAGACTCGGCGCTGCTCAACGCCGCCATTTTAAACTGCGAGAAAGTGAGTGGAAAATAATAGAAGGAAACGCAGGCTGGTGCTGAGGACAGGAGGGGGAGACAGAGACGCAGGAGCAGGAGCAGGAGCAGCACCGCCACCGACTGGATCACAACTACTACCGCCGAGTGGCCACAAAATCATATGTCATTACTGTTATCATTAATATGATTATTGTCATTATCATTACAATGACCCGGGTAATCACATCATAACAGACACGCCCTCTTTTTAACCCTTGACTAATTATGAAAACCTCCGCCATTGTTTGGATTCAGTTATCGGATTAAAAACATGTTTCCAAACGTCCGTTATCTCTTAACTCTCAACCAAAAAAAAGAAAAGAAAAGATCGTTTATTTTAAAAAACTATATCCTGGAAAACTGTAACTATTGCCCTCACGGGTTCACTCACCTGAAAGTTGTTATCGATTGGCTAGACTGACGTCATTATAGTTTCCGTAACAGCGTCGTTGATCATTGGTCAGATATCAATATTAATAAACTGACTTATTAATATATTTATACGTCTTTTTAGTTCAAATATTAACAGCTGAACAATTACTCGCCATGAAAATACTTTGAAGACAGCGGGGACACGACNNNNTATTTTCGCAGAAATTGAAGAAAGACACTAAGAAAGATTTACCTTAACTGTTCGGAGACTCCTTTAGTTTGTTTATTGCCACCTGCTGGAAGTGTTCTGCCTGACACTGTCGCATGGACGAACTCGGACAAGTTATTTGCAGTAAATACTGTAGTAGTTTTCATGAGTTTTCAAATCTCGTTCTCTTTGTGTCACTAACGGTCACGTTTTTATCAAAAGTACATTTCTTCATGGTACCTTTCCTGAATATATGGCTAGAAATAGACATTCGGGCAAATAGCAACAAACTTTAATTGAAATATTACACTTTTTTCTGGTGAGAACAGTTACACACGCACATACAGTTAACTATTAACACCTGGTCGACCTGATCCGTCAAAATGGCTGAAGTGTAATAGCTGTTCAATATTTAGAAGCAACAATTAGCCTCATCTGTCGACCTGAAAAAAAAAACTAATTCAACCAAGAGATGTGTCCCAGAATGTTGTCGATACAGAATAATAAACACATTTGATATCAGAGTCCGTCACTTCCTCTTGGTCGCTCTCTTCCCCTCGCCTTTCTTTGGTCGCCCTTTTCCTCTCAGTTTTCTCAGGCGCCACATTTCATCTTTGAAATCCTCATGTTCATCCCTGAGGGAGAAGAGAAAAAGTAAACTTTAAAAAAACACATTTTTACTCAAGGTTTAATCCTCGGTAACATTTCTAACTTCTAAACACTGCTAACAATACATTTAGAGTTAGCTAACCTTTCTTTAGCTTATCACTGTGTTAGCATGAACAGACACAGTCAGTGCATTCGGGACAATTTCTGGATGATTGGTACCTGAACAGTCCCAGAAACCGGAGCTTCTGGGTCATGGCGTAGTAAATGTTGTGTTGTGGGTACCAGTCATAAACCTCCTTCCTCTTCGCCAGGGGAGTTTCCTTGAACAGCTGGACCACCTTTAAGGATTTGGCGTCCGTGGGGCGGGCCACTTCACTGAAGATCTGTGCACTCAGCCTGGCCATACGGAGGGCGTACGTGCTCGGACCAGCCATGGCTGAAGAAGGGGATTAGAAACACATTAGAACCAAAGAAGCTCCCGCTGCGATGTTCATGCATTCTTAATGATGGACCTTCAACCTCTAACTTTTATACCTGTGGTTTATGTAGTAAAAAAATGGCCATTTACAAAAAACACATCTTTAAAAAAAACTCATTTTAATTACAGTAGATTGATAAAGCTTTGATTCTATTGATAGCAAAAAGGAAGTACAGTGCAGGAAATACAAATCCTTCATTTCCCGAAGGGATTAATAAAGTTCTATCTATCTACAATCAATCATTTACGGTAGTTGAATGTTAATTCCAGAAGGGGGTGCTGAATCGCTTTAGTTGTTTCATGACACACAGTAACGATTCAAAATATTTGTATCATATGGTATACGGTTTTTTTAACTTTGTATCATATGGTATACGGTTTTTTTTAACTATTATTAAAGCAATAATATACAAACAAATATCATCTGGGCTCATATTATAATCCCTGACGTAACATCCGGTCAGTGGTGCGTCTCATTGTAGACTTGTATTTCTGTCACTTTTCTCACTTGTTGTAGAGAACAAGTGAGAATGATCTTGATAAAAAAAATGATTCAGTTTGGACTCAATAAAGACCCTGCCCGTAATAGAAATGTTCAGAGTGGTGGTGATGCATTAAAGTTTGTTTTCCAGTCGCAAAGGAAGATGGACAACTACCGCTACATCTATTAAATAAAACTGTACAAATAGTAAACACACACGGGATCATAAAATACACATTATCGGTCACATCATCAATAAACGACCCTAAATTGTGACACATTATGACTATAATACTTATGTGTAAAGGATTAGTGAGTACAGTTACGTTTGCTAGGTCCTGGCTTCCCGCGGTTCACAATTATTACAGCATTTACAACAGATAAACATAAACTTACCTGAGTATCACTCAGTACTCGACAGTACTACGAACACCGAATATATATTCTAATAAAAAGTTATCCGTGTAACAGGACTGTAGAAACTCCAGGTACTCGGTATTAACCTTCACGCTGCACACACGACTCTGCTACTGCGCATGACACACGTCTGAGCGCTGATTGGTCAGTTTCTTTTACTTCCTGTTAAAGGAAGCTACATTTTCAGTTTATGATTTCTGTTTTTTATATTATTAAAAATTGTATTTTAAATCGACAACTTCACTGATTAATTTTACATTTCGTTGTATATATATATTTAAAAACAAGAAATAGTGTAATATAAAAAAAATTATAGGAGGAAGTCCGTCACTTATAAAAGAGCCGTCCATAACAAACCGCGATTTAAAGTTCCGCTGTTTATAATGAAATCCGCCCGTTAAATTTAGTATTTTTTTTAAATATAATACAACGCTTTATATATTAAAATTAGATATGAATAATGTCCTTTAATATTCTTTATTTCATTATCTTTTTTTAATAATGTAAAAACAATGAGACCCGACGGAGCATAGACACAGTTATTATTATTAGTATTTTAAATGATTTAATATAACCTCTGCATTTTTTAACTAATCATATCCATTCATTGATCTGCATGAGATTTTTGATATACGATACACTTTTTAAAATATATATATTTCTAAACATAAGATGGCGCCAAATCTAAAGGAAGTTAAACCGCTGACTGAATCTCAACACAACAGCAGACTTATCAGACGAAAAACAAATCTTAAAAAAGAACAAAAACAACTACCATTACGTCTTTTCTGTATAACTGTCCTGAATACATTCAAACCAAAATAAACATAACTAATGAAAACAAAAAACTATTTTTAACAATTTTTACGGAACTGTAGAAACTCCAGGTATTCAGAAAACAGTTTAATATGTTCCTAATTTTAGTACCTACATTATTTGGACCACGGTGGGAGGAACGGAACTGGATTGTACTCGTATTCCTTTTCTTCAATCGGATTAGCCTCGTGGGATTCAGTGCGTTTAAAATAAAGTTTAATGGAGTTTTGAAGCAAAAGCTGTAAAGTCCTGTCTACAAAACAAGGGCCCTGCAGAAAAAACAACTCTGACACTGATGTAAAGTGTCCCTGAAGGGACATGGAAATAAAACTTCTCTGCTGCTCACCTGAAACTTACAGGTGAAGACCGGAAACGTGTATTTATTTATCCCATGTCTCCGTAAAGGTGTAATAAATATGAGGACAACGTCTCTCATTTCTAACATTTCCGTTCCACACAGCTATTGATGCTGATTGGTCCATTGTCAGGCCTGCTATCATCCGGTCAGAAGTCGCACGTGCGGATGCACCCCCTCCCCCTCCCTCTCATTGGCTGCTGCTGGACTACAGACTACATCTGGGTTCTGTTTGGCTTCTCCGGTACCTTTAACTGCCCGTCAATCATTTCCAGAGGGTGTTGTAATGTTTGGTGTGACGTGTTGGTAGGAGCCTGTGGGGGCGGTGTTCAGGCTCGATTCGATCCTGTGCGCAGCTGTCACTCCGACTGCCTGCTCTGCCCCGCGTTTTTGCCCCGTGCTTGTCTACAAAGAGGCTTTTTTCCCCCCTTCTGATGTGCCTCCTGCATGACTAACGACGAAGGCTGTGCCGCCACCGCTGCCGCCGCGGCTGCCGCTGTGTCGCCTCGCTCATACAGATGGACGCCGAGGATCCAGAACTGAGATGAGATAAACCCTCTCTCTCTCTCTCTCCCTCTATCCCTCTCTCTCTCATCTCCGCCAAGCCGCTGCAGCGGTCGCGCACGCAGGAGCGACGCGGTCACGCCGTGTTTGGAATTCACTGGAATACATGAGGATTTAGCACCTTTTATATATTCAACTTTTCCCCAACGCGCACATTCAATCGCTTCTTGATGACGATGATGATGATGATGATGATGAAGATGATGATGGTCCCCGCGATGCTCTCCAGAGGTGATGTGAGCTGAAGCAGCTGGAGCTCTTGGAGAGAGGAAAAAGAGGAGGAGGAGGAGAAGAAGAAGGAGAAGAAGGAGGAGGAGGAGGAGGAGGAGGAGGAGGGGAAGCCGCAGAGGAGCTGTCCGTCTTCTGAGGTGCTGATGCGGCTGTGACAAGCGAGCATGGCTGCCGGGAAGTTACTGCTCTACGCCGGGCTCTCGCTGTCTCTCTGCGCCCTGGCCATGCTGGCCGTGGCGATGTGCTCCGACCACTGGTACGAGACCGACGCCAGGAGGTACAAGGATCGTTGCCGAAGCTTTTCCAGCCGCCGCAAGGTCCCGGGCTTCATCTACATTCCCAACAACAGCCTGCCGCTGCGGGCCAGCCGTGAAAGCGGCAGCAGCGGCGGCGGCGGCAGCAGCAGCGCGTCCCGCTGGGGGGAGAAGCTGATGCTGCTGGCGCGACACCGGAGGCAGCTGTTTGCCATGAGCGCTGCGGACGAGTGCAGCAGGCAGTACAACTCCACCAACATGGGGCTGTGGAGGAAGTGCCACCGGCTGGGCTTCGACCAAGAAATTGAAGATCTGATCCGGAAAGGTAAGAGAGGAAAAATGATCAGGTCAGACCCAGAAAGAGTGGTGGATCTGGACTGACGTTTATGGGATGGCAGGAGAAATTTGGGAAAATATATGTCAGCAATATATGTGAATAGACTTTCTGGTACCTGTTATAGGACTTTAAACCCAAACTTAAGTGAAATAATAACAAAACCTTTTCTAACGAAAGGAAAGAGAATGAAATTCATTGACTTTAACGTGGGTTCAAACCCATGAACGTCCAAACAGCCTTCGGTACCAAGACAAACACCTCCGTCCTGTACTGTCCTCCAGAACCACCGCTGTCCAGGAAGGTTCCGGGTCTGTTCCAGAAACACCGGTGTACATTATAGACATGGGGCATCGTTGGGATTTATCATCAGAATAAATCAATTCCAGATCTGCCTGTGGTTATCGTCCAGTTGGCTATAGGGCGAACAAGGGCATCGACCTGTTTAGCTTGAAGAATAGTAGGAGGAGACAGATGTTCTTGTTGAAGTGAAGTGCTGTCTTTACTCAGAGTGGCTGCCAAAAAAAAAAAGAAAAAAAATTATCAAGATTATTTAAAGAAAAATGTCTTCTTCTGAATGATCTCTCTGTGGATTTTTTTAAGTTTTTGTCACCACTTCAGTTCATGTCAACGACAGAATTTTAACAACAGCTTTAACTTTTTTCGCTTCTGAATGGGTCACATGATCCAAAAAAAAAAAAAGGTCATCTTCGTTGGTCAACAAAGACACCGTCAGATCTGATGGTTTGTTGGAACATCACTGTAGACTGAGCCCAAATATCCTGTAAAACATTAACATCCCATAATTCTACGGCAGTGAAGTTCCATCACCTCTGCTGAAGTAAACACAACAATGACGTCAAAGAAGAAAAAGACGGAGCTGCAGCTCACACTTCACACTGACGCTGACTACACCGTGGTAAAGGTGTGTGCACCCTGCAGTGACCAAGGCCGGCCACTAGTTGCAAAACAACCATGAGGACAAAGAGAAAGAGGCACTAGAGATTTACAGAAAGAAAGAAAAAATTTGGTCTGTCGTCTGATTCAAGTCTGTGGGTGTTAGAGATGTAACGATGCACGAAACTCACGACGCGATTCGATTCACGATTTTAGTTTACGATACGATATTTTCTATATATATATTTTCTGTGGAACAAGTTCTTCCCACGTTCTGTTCCAACACCTGAACGTCTCTCAGCCTACGTAGGGACCTGACGTCTGGGTTTAATAGTGGGTCACAACCAACGTTTTTAGGAGCATACTGCCACCTACTGGACTAGAGTGTGTAGTGTCATGGTCTGACCAGTGACTTTTTGCGATAACGCAGCCACTCCTCACACCTTGATGTGAGATTCATTTTTTTATTTCAACTGATGTGAACTGTCATTGATTTCCAGCCCTAGTGGTTGTGTGTGTGTATGACAGCCTGAGGAGTTTGTGTTAATGCTCCGAGGACAAAGAGTGTGGTATTAATTAGAGTAATGCAGATGTACGCTCATTAAAAAAATCTGGCCACCTTGTGGCGACGGGTGAAAGTGTGGTCACCTTCAGAGGTGTTTGATATTCAGGCCGTGAAACGTCACGTGTTCGATGCCGTGGTCACGTTAACATAATTATCTGAACTGGTTCTCTGTTCTGAGTTCAGTCCCGTCAGAACTTATTTTGGACCGAAGTCCAAATGATGGATGAACTCTCAGTTGATTACACAGCAGAGTGACTGTGTTTATGGACTTATGGAAACCACTGCTCTGTGTCCGGGCTGAAGGACGAGGGTGTGTGTGTGTGTGTGTGTGTGTGTGTGTGTGTGTGTGTGTGTGTGTGTGTGTGCGCTGCAGCTGTGGCTCCTTTGGCTTTAATGCCCTCTGCAGTGATGGGCAGCCCTGAGTACAGGTGTGTTCACTGATTGGACGAACACCTCTGATGAACACGTGTCCACTGGTGTCCACTGGTGTCCAGCCGTCCGTCCGTCCGCTCGCTCCGTCAGCAGCACATTTTGTGAGCGATGACATGACATCAGTGAGTGGACAGGGACTAACACCTGTGATCTGTCGGCTCTTCAAACGTCCGGTCATGTGATCTTTGAGCTCACGTTTCTCAGCCGTGGAAGAAGAGGAAGAGGAAGAAGAAGAAGAAGAAGAAGAAGA